ATATATATTTGTCACAGTGTATGTGCCACAGGCTTTGCTGGCAGACTCTCTGGTCTTTGATATGCCTGCCATTCACCGGGGAAGAACTTTAATATTCCAAAAGTAGTACCAACACACACACACACACCTACACACACAGGCACAAACATGTGATCATGTGCACAAGCAGGCAGTTGGTGGTGGGTGGCCCGTTCATACGCTGCATCTAGCTGCAGCAGTGACGGCGTCCCACAGGGCCAGACAGGGAGAGAATTACATTCTCTAGAAACATAGTAACAAACAGAAATCAATGTCTCAGCATCAAGTTTATAAGCAATTCGGCCATTTTTGTTTCACAAAAAAAAAAAACATGCAGTGGATTAACTTAAAACATTCACTGCAGCTGAAATAATGCTGTTCTCATACACTGTTTGTAGCTTTAACGATAGTAACACAGTAATTTGTATATATCCCGCAAGATTTGTGTGCTATTAGCGAGTGGGTAGAATACATTAGAAAGTTGTCCAGTATATATCTATATGTATACACATGTATTTGGAGGAGGAACCTAGCCTGTAACGTTGCACCGAAGAGAAATTATTTGCATACCAAGTTATCTGTGGTCATGTACAGAATGTCAAATACCATGACACAGAGTTTTGAGTTTTAAAATGGGCCCTATAAACACGAGCATTCTTTGGTCGGTCCATTAGTCAACAGATTTATTCGCGTGCAGCATAGACGCCGCCAGTTTTACGGTTAAAAACAGTAACAGAAGTTGTAGGTGTCCTTCAATCAATTTAAAATACATGCTTGTGTGTATTTATACCTACACCAACCATTTATGTAAGTTACTACGAGTATCCACGGACGCGTTCGGCTTAAAGTCACCAATTAACACGGCCACTCATTAATCCGAAACTGATCCTGTTGGAATTCTGATGGATGGGTCCAAAAACCCCAGACTCTCATCCAGGAGACTGCTGTCCGTGTCTTTTGTGAAACAAGAGGTCAACGTTGATGTATTTGTCAAGTAACGCCACTTCCGTAGTTATTTTAAACCACACCAAAATCTTTTCCTACACCTCACCAAGTAGGTTTGTTTCCATTTGGCTTGCAGCCAGCAGTTCACTTGGCTGGTCTGAAGTGAAACAAGGAGACAAGCGGAGCGTGCTAGTGGAAACATTCAGCTGTCTATATCACACACACACACACACACACACTGTGAAATGCTCTCGTATTTCTCACACACAATGCTCTGCCTAATTAGGGTTGTAATGTGAACAAAGGCAGCAGTCCTATCTGCCACAGCAGACCTCAGAGCGCTCAAGTTCAGACAGGAAACCTCTTTGCACAGTCCTTCATTTGTCTCTCTCTCTCTCTTACACTTACACAAAACAGTGCAGATGGTTCACAGACAAAACACACAATCACGCACGGTAACAGACAGTCAGACACTAACGTGGTGCCGACGTCGATGTCACCTCTAAATATGTTACAGCCCGTTCACACACAGATTGGTCGCAACCATCATAACACCCGTCTTCGGCTCTTGCGAGACTCATTGCATTTTCTGGGGTGCACAATTTGGGCGTTTTGTGCACACTAAGCTAGTGCTTTTCTCACTTAAAACAGCTGTAGGAAAACGCTCTTCAGAGTAGATATAATCTGAAAGTGGCAGCCTCAAGTTCAGGTGTGTACAAAGTTATGACAGAAGCCTGCTAAACCCTATAAAGTTAAGAAGACAAAGTCCTGTCTCCAACTCTCTGTGATCACTCTATTTAAATGTCAACACGGCCGATCACAAGACACAGCTGTCGTTAACATAATCATTTTTTTGTTTTGTTTTGAGAGACAATGGCGTGATTTTGCAATGGTTCCATGAGACTCAAACAAATCATTATTTCATGGGCTTTCAGTTGGGTATAAATATGTAAAGAAGAGCTACGAAATCGCATTTAACACAGTGTGGGAGATCACAAAGAGCAGGAGTATTCAGACTGGACAGCCTGCTCTCCTAAAGATTACGTTCCCACACAACGACGCTGCATAGTCAATTACTTTTTAAAGGGAAACTTTCTGCTGGATTACGTTTGTTTTTTTTATGTATAAAAGACGTGTGTCCAATCATCGTTCGAGGAACTACTGTTTAGATTTTCACCCAAAAAGGTGCATTCATTTTGATATACCCCTGATGATGAAGAGATTGAAATATAGCTCAGTAACTATAGTATAGTGACTTAATATTGTGTTTTATCTTGGAACTGCTTGTGTGTCAGTGGATGCCAAGAAATGATTTTCAATGCAATATCACTTTGTTTATTTGATGTATTGTAAGATGTTCCCACACCGTATGGAAAACCTTATGAATTTCTCATAAAACAATGGGATGGGCTTGGTTAACCGTTAGGCTCACAGACATCAGATAGGAAAACACACACACAGATAGGAAAACACACACACACACAGGCACGTCCCTGTCCTTCTGCCAGTAATGAAGCAGATAATAAGCTGCTTCACGCTCTGCTGCAGCAAAACCAAAATCAAAACACTGTTGATTTAAGAATCAAAATGTGTACACTCATGGGTTTTTCATCTTCCATGCTCCGTGGCAATGATGAGGTTGGTGCTGTGTATTAAAAGCCTGAGGAGCAGACAGTGGGTTTTCTAGGCGGCGTTGAGAATCCATTCCTCGTGCCTGCCTCCTCATTTCAGCTCTCTGTGTTTCCAAGAAATGATTCTCTGACTTTGACACTGATGTCGTCACCAAAAGAGTTTTTGGATATTTTCTGAACTTGTGAAAGAAAGAAAAAACAACAACATGCAAACACCTTGGTTTTGGAAAGACACCGTAAAAACCTATGAAATGAAGTAAACATGGGATCTGAGAATGTAGTTGTATCTGTAGTGGTAATTCTGTGATATTAGGACCAGATGTGTGTTTCCACAGCAGTTCCAAAGTTCATTTATGTGTTCAAATCCAGCATTATGCTCAAACATGAGAGAAACCTACTCATTTCCTTAAGTCCACATAAAAGCTTTTATTCCGTATTGATTTTCCTCATCAAATCAATGACACAAAGATGTCTATGATCACAAGAAGGATCTTCAGCTTCAAGCTACAATTCAAAGAGTCTGTTGCTCAATAACAAGGCAACATGTTCCGACATTTTGAAGTGTAATAAACTGTTTTTGAAACAGTGTTGTTCCTGACTTTGCTATTTGAAACACAACTTCCTTAATCAATTTGTAGTTGTTGTTTTTTTCATGTACATACGTTACAATAATGCCCAATTTCTCCTCTTGAGGGAGCAGTACACTGTATACATTTTGACCATTCTGTGTACTTGTATACTTAAGTTAACTAGATCACTACAACACTTTGATTAAAATAACTTTAAAAACATGTATCATATATTTGTAAATGTATGTGTTCTTCTTTGGAGGAGGTTGAACTGGTGGCCAAGAAAAATACATGTCGACTTTCTTTAGAAAACGTCTACAATATGGATGTCAGACATTTTAAAAACACAAGGATCCCTGCTGTACATGCTCTTCTCTCGGTGACAAAACAGAGTGTCCAAAAACACTTGGATGTTCCTTTCATTCACCCCATTCGATATGAACAACAATCCATGCTTGTACTCACTTGTTCTCATGTTGCAGCAAGAGACAATTCAAAGAGAAGAAACACATTTGAAAACAACAGACTCTCAGACCAGGCATCAACAAATGTCTTCTGTTGGATCTAAGTAGCTGTTGATGTTGGCTTAGCAGCCCACCAGGCCTGTACAACTGTTGCAGACACATTTATATATTTTGTCCTTGCATGTTTTTTTGTCTGTTGGTTTCTGTTTTATTCCTGAGATGTTTGTGTTGCTACAGAGGTTCTTGCATGTTGATATATTTGAGAAGCATCCTCCTGAACATATTTTCTATAAATGTTATCAATGCAATGTCCTGTTTCTTTTGAAAAAAAAAAAATCTTTTTGAAATCATCCAGTGCAGAATGTTATATATTTTAATATATTTATAGTTAATTATCCACTGCTCCGAGTATGAAATCAAATGTCATATATGGCAAAATGTTTTTTTCTGAGAAAAGTGTGATATAACCATGGATGTTATAAGGTAAACAAAAGAAAAACCTGCAACCCCAGGTTGTAATCAAGGATAAGAATTGCAAACAAATGCAAAGAATAGGGAGCAGCATGGGGTTAACGCAAATTAATAAGAATTATTTTTTGAACAAGGGGCACCTTTGCAGGCGAGTCTGGCCACAATGATTGTTTGATCTGGCCTTGATTATTATTCACTTTACAGACAAGTATTTCAACTTAATCATCATGAGTCATCTTTTCCTTCTTACCCACTGAATTTCATAACCAAGAAAGAGGAAGAAAATAGAAGCAGCATAACTTGGCAAACAACGCCTTGGTATCAATCGTCATTATGAAGTATACTAATTATAGAAAGCA